CCCCCCCCCCACTCCTTCAATTTAGCATTCACTTTGGTAGTTATATGCAGGACTCTGTGTGTGTAATAAGTAGTTATATATATCTAACTACATACACACATACAAGGCAGCTACAAATAGTATTCTTTTCAGTCAGCATGGGCTGCAGGAAGGTGGCCAACTTCTATTTGCTTAGCCTGATTCAGTTTCCAGTAAACAGCTTTCTGGAATAATCTGAGATTCTCTTTCAGGTTTTGGCCTGAAGGAAAAAGAAAGAAAAAGTAAAGTTCCAGCAAATCTGTCCTTGTCTCTTTGAATTCCTATCATTTATCTTTTTCCTCTGTGTTCCCAAAAGAGACCAGTCAGGAAGTTAACTGCTTAAATGTTCTTAAAATCGGAATAAAGCTCTATAGCTAGTTTTAATTTGGGAAATGAAGTTGCATATTTCCAGTCAATCCCCATCCCTCCCGCTCCAAAAACAGCCATGAATTTAAATGGAGTCAGCTCCTTTCCCGAATGTGAACTAACTGACCGTTTTGCTGAAATTTTTAATTTTGTAGCAGTATGCCCTCTGTGTGTGATAATATCATAGCCTTTCAAGTGCTGTCAAAGAGCTGTGCTCTTCAAAAAAGGAGAGCTTGCATTTGGCTCTGACGTTCTCCATTCCCAGGCTTGGTACAAGGCCTCTCTAGCCTAGGCTATTAAGGCTGTGCACAACTAAGAATGCTTCTGAGTTTGCTCTTCCCACCAGCATTGGAGTAGCCTGCAAATGTCTGTCTATACGTCCCTTCTGTTCCTTTCCAGAGGGGATTAGCCCTCTGTCGTGCTGCAAATTCACTTTTAGGTTTGAGTGCAAGTATTATTCTTGTGGACAAACAGAAACATCCCATTTCCCAATCTGCAGATATTGCAAACTTTTCTGGAGACTAGGAAACAGGAGGGGGTGCTGCTTCCTGTCTGGTCCATAGGGCGTATAGCAAATGCTGCTCTTTGTTACAGCATACAGTAACTTTCCTGTGTTGACTAATCTTTTCTTGTAAGTGGTGACACTTGATTCGGAGACCATCTGTATCTGATTTCCAAACAGGCCCTGGAGAAGTTACAGCCCTCCCTAGGATGGAGTGATGGGAGACAGTATTTCACAGCAGCAGGATGGGAATTGGGACTGTTTGGCTTCCAATCTCAGCCCTGTCACTGATTTGCTGTTTGACTTCAGGCAAATCATTGTACATTACTTGAGACCTCTATAAAATGAGCAGACCTAGCTTTGTGCCACAAGAGGCCAAATGAATATGAAGCACTTCTGAAGTCTCAGTAGAAAGGAGCCACACAAGTGAAAAATTGGATTATTTTGTGCTTAATGTTTTTGGAAGGTGATTAAGGCAGTAAGAAAGTGCTTCATTCAGTGGTCCTTTGAATAAATAGCTTCATTTAAATCTCCCCAGAATGAAATATTGAACGGACGGTTAAATATTAATGCAGCTAATTGCAAAGTAAAGTGCCGGCTGTGCAGCTCCTTCGATATTGCTTAAATTGTGTGGCTTTTAAAGATGGTCTGATTTGCATAAGTGTGGATTCCTCACTTGAGAAGGAAAAAGGCTTAATTGTTGTTGAACAGGTACAGTGCTGGGAGGACTGAGAAGCTTCCTCCACCACCACACCCCAAATGGAGCTCGACAGCTTGGAAAGGCTTCGTGGCAAAGCCGTCACCTTTGTTGGAAGGTGACATTGGAGTGTTGTGACTCTCTCTTCAAAATAGCCTCCCAGAACTGAGTATAGCTGTGCGGGTCCCAACTAGATCCCACAGAAGCCTACTTTCCGTTGGTTATCTTAGAGGATACCTGAGCCATTTCTGGGTAAATTGAGGAGGGGAGTAGCAGATAGAGCAGGGAGCAGATTGGTCTGGGGAAGAGAATCAGAATGGCATTTGGGGAGGGTGCAGGATTAATTTATGGCACACCTGCCGAAAAAGTGGGCCTCCACTGGTCATCTGATTGCTTTTAAAATCCTTTCTGATGTCTCCTGCCAGTACTTCCAGTTTGTAGGGGAGAACAGGAGCTGTTAAATGGGACTGCTAATTGGGTTCCCCAGCTGTGAAAGTCAGGAGCCTGGACTGAGCAGTGGTCGAAGCTTGAAGGCGTCGCTTGTTTGAATCCATAGCCCACATCACATGCAGAATGGCCTACCCTGTTGGCCCAGCTCCCTTTTGCTCTGCCTCCCCTGCGAAGTCATCCCCTGCGAAGAGAGCGATGTGGTCATTACTCATCTCTTGTAGCAAGCACAGAATGTGCTGGGGGGGTGAGGATCTTGAATGCGAGACCCTTTAAACATGAAAATCGGAGCTTGTCATGACACCTTTCTTTGCTTGGAAGAGGAGAGAGGGAGGGGGTGGAAAGCTAGTCATTCTACACTCCCGCTTTCTTTAGCAAAAAGCATTTGGCACAGATTTTTTTGCTCAGTTACATATGTCTTGAAATGGGAGCTTTGATCATTTGATAAATGCATCCCAAAGCTGGTTGGGTTTCACTGTTAAGTGCCTCTGTATACCCGATGTTGACTGGCACGTCCTTATCAAACACTCAGATTGCGGCATGGCATCGAGGGTCCTGGCACAGCCCGGGACCGGAGCTCAGCAGAGGGGGCTGGGTTTTCCCTCCTGTTCGGATTCAGAAGCGTTGTAAGAATTTGAACGTGGCCACACTTAAGTTTGATGAAATAGTTCTTTGAACCATGGCACCTTCTCAGGGTTTGTTTCCCTTTACCCTCCTGTGCAATGACAGGAGCTCTGAGCTTGGGAAATGAGCTTAATGAGATTGCATTCACCTTAGGAGTGTGGTGGTGCCGTGGAAGTGCAAGGTTTCCATGCCAGACAGGGAGAACATGGCACTGTTTTATGTAACCAGCTGGTGGGGCAGCAGTTCTGTCCTCCGATGTCTGGACCCCTTGAGAGCCTTGCTGCTGATCTTTTAGGTGATTTTGTGGCCTAGAAAAACCTCTGCTACAACCAAGGATCACATCATTGGCTTCTGTCCCCACAGCCAAGAAAAAAGGTTGGAATACAGGTTTCAGAAGATGGCAAAAGCCGTACATCACTTCACCCTCATCTAGGCCCAAAACAGTCTACAGATATTGTGCTAAGACTCAGGTTGGAAAATTTTAAAAAATAAAATAAAGTAACCACATCAATCTGTAGCATCACAAAACTTGAGTGATAAGTACTGGGTCTCACCTCCTCCTCCATGCTGTGATTTAAATTAAAAATACTAGATCCCAGTTAAGCCTTGATGTAACTCCACTGAAGTCAATAAAATTGCAGCAGCTTACACCTATGTGTGAATTTGGTCCCAGGCGCTTGCACAGAGCCAAAGAATTCTGGGAATCCAGTTGAGCTGGGGAGATCGGGCTGTAGCAAATAGCTGAGCTGTAGCAGATACACAGGGCTCAGTGTGGAGGGTTGAGTGGTAAGTGAAATAACATTTCCTTGTGGCTTGAAAATAATTTCCCTCTTCTGTAAGAAGAGAAGTTGGGAAGGAATCAAGCATGAGTCGGTGCTTTTTTAGATGCATTAAAACATTCAAGCCATGGCACAATGTCAGGCTTTTTTCTGCATTATCTAATAATTGCCAGCTGTTCCTTTGTTAAATGTTGTCATCTTTCTTTGTATTTTGACAGGTTCGGGTACCTTCAAGAAATCGCTCACCTCCGAGGTAAGTTACTGCTCAAGAAATTGATGTGCTTTGTTCCCTGGTATAAAGGGGAACACTTTGAAACCAGATGTTTTTAGCCCTGGCCATGGCTTAAGCAGGAAAGACAAAGCAGGCAGCAAACAGCTGAACAAGCAAATGCAAGGCTTCAATGAGCTGGGCACGTTCCTTTGTGAAATTAGGTCATTCTTCCTTGTGAAGAGAGTTGTCCATTGCTATAGCTTAATTGCCCTGGCATTTAAAGCGATGAAGTCTCTTTTTCTGCCAATCGTTAGATAAATGTCATGCTGTAATGTAGAAGCCTGATTCATTTTGACTAGCAAGGCAGGGAGGCCAAGCAGACAAGATGATGAACTGGGCAAGCTCTTGAGGGATCATAGAGCAGTGGGAATGAAATGCAACTGAAACTGGGCTGAGAAACCAGGGTGGACTTGTGCTGCCTTCCTACCTCCTTTCCTTGGGACATTTGAAGCAGGGGGAGAGCTGTTAAAGGAAGGTGCAAAGCAACTTCAGTTGGTGTGAGGCCCTTTGAGACCTGTGGGCTGGTAATTAATTTTCTAAGCAAAGGCTTAAAGCTTGTTTCTCATATGGGAACCCAAAATCTTCCTTCAGCTTTCATTAAGTGCATTTAGATGCCAAATCTGCACCACGCAGGAGGTTTGTGAAAGTCTGTCATCCCTGTAAACTACTTTAAATGTTGCTGTGCTATTTTGAAGACTACGCTGAACCCCAAAATGTAGATAGCAGCCCTCTTGATCTTCAAATGGAAAGACACCACTGAGCCATAGGCCCCAGCCTGTGATGCTCTTCCTTGAGGTCAAGCAGCTACTGGTGTTGCCAGTGGAAGTGTAGTTAATCTAGGCGCATTTTATATCCTTAAAAATAGGAGTGGCAAAGAGTTATGCCTTGTAATCCTCAGTAGTTCTGCCCTGTGCTTCTGGGTGGACACACATCAGAGGGCGTGTGTAGATGAAATGGGGGCCCTAAATTGAACTGGTGGGTTTTTAAAAACACCGCTTCAATTTTTGGGCGAAGTAAACCCCCATGTCATGCACACACCCGTGCACTTACCCGCCTCTCCGGTGACGGGCAAGTGAGGACAAGCTGCCAGCAGGTGGAGTGGTCCCTGGGCTGCAGGGGGAGGGGCTGGTGCTTTCCTCTGCGGCAACAGCAGCACTCCCTCTCCTCCCAGGTGCCTGGCTCGGGCAGTCCCAGGGGGCACCACAGCCATGAAAGGAAGCACTGAGCCCCCGCGCAGCTCAGGCAAACAGGCAGGCTCCACTGCCAGGCAGGCAGGATCTGGGCTGCTGGCAGGCTTCCTGCAGTGCTCCTGAGCTCTACAGAGCCTGATGCCTCGCTCCGCAGCTGTAGGGCAGCAAACTGAAACTTGTCAGAGGAGTTTATTTGCTGTGCCCCGAGTCATTTAAGGCACATTACACTGCCAAATTTGCTACAGCAGCTGGAATTACTGCACAATACGCTGCCGACATGTGCAAACACCAACACCATTAAAGCGGTGCAAAAGCATTAAACTCGCTTTAGTGTCATGCACACATGCCCCTTCTTTCATCTACACACGGCCTGGGATATCAATTTTTTTAAGACGTCTTGGTTCTTGTCTACCCTGATTCTAGATGCCTGGTTCTTCTGGGCAGCCTGGCTTGCATACAATAAAGAAAGGTCATCGTGGAGTAGACTCAACGGGTGAGACGACATATAAAAAGGTAAGTGCCTCATGCATAATTCATCTCCTTGTTTTGACTCAGGGGGCCTGAGTCACTTTGTTCTGCATAAAAGATTGGGGAACTAGCGTGGGACAACCAATACAAAATATCTCAGACAGAGCAAAAACTGGCAGATTGAAAAGGTGAAGGGACTGAATGTTGCAAGTAGATTCTCTGTCCTTGCCTTGTAAAGATGGAATTATTTTTTTTAAAGCATAACCTGTTCATAACCCTTTCAAGGATCCTTCTGGTTTACCATGTGTTCTCTGGACACAATGGCAGCTACAGAATGGGGTTTTTTTCTTCTGGAATTTGCCTTACAAAGGGCAAATTGTGTGGCTTTTTTTTAACAATGTGGGGATTCTTGGGCAGTCCTTCTAATTTAGTTGGACTTTATCAGCTAGTGCCAGTCTGCTTTGTAACAAGATTGGTTTCCCTGTGTTAAGATTACATGGATAATGGCCTGATGCAGGTTTTTCATTGGCCCTTGTTAAGGGAAAGTTTCTGGCGTGAAATCTCTGATCAAGCTGCACCTTTAGTTTCGGGTTTGTGGAAAGTGTTTTGTTGCTTCTAGAGATCACCCGGAGAGCAGGGGGGGAAATTATGGTCAGTAGTCCCTCTAATTTTACAGCTGTCTAAGAAGGCTGTGTTCAGGCTTTGGGTTCTCAGTCCTGATACCCAATATCCCAGCATGCTTGTGAAGGAGGCGGAGGCAGCAGTGCTGCCTGAGAGGACATAGGAGCTTGAGTAATGAGATCCTTAAACATGCTTGTTAGACACCAGGAATAGTACAGGTGGGACACATCATGGAATTCCTGAAATTGGGGCTATTTTGATAAATTTCTCTGATTTGCTTGGTTGATTTAACTTCTCTTTGCCCTTGTTGAAACAAGTTGCAAAATGGACAGCTGATACCTAACCTAGATGCTCTTCAAAAACATGCTGCCCCTATGGCTCTCTGCATTCAAAGATAACACCAGCATGCCATCACTGCATTTGGCGATTCCATCTCATTAAGCTAAAACTCCCTTTTTAGGGGTAAGCAGGAGTGTGTGTGAGGCGCTTGGATGGTTTTAAGCAGTATTTTGTCCTCTAAAGCAAGGGGTTTCAAAGAACTTGACTCCCAGTATCTGAAAGATTTAGCCCACACAAAGAAAGCAGCCAGGTGCATGGTCTAGTTTAGAGCAGTGATTATTTATTTATTTATTTTTATTTTTTTCAACCAAGGCACTGGGGTGCCGTGAGATCCTTTTTAATGCTGCCGCACAACATAAGCCTAGCGAGGTGTGTGGACACCTACACAATTCACAAGATAAACCCAGAGATTTCCAGTAGGAATCCAATGTCACCACCACTGCCCTGCTGTGGGCTTGTTGAATTCTTTGCAACAGAAGAGCCGCTCCAGTATTTTTCCATAGTAAAAAAGGAGTGAGCTCTAAAAGCTGGTGTTGTCCAAAGGAGTGCCTTGGGTCTAATGAGGTTGAGAACCACTGGGTATATAAGTGTGATGTGTGTGTGTATTCTGTTTTGTTTCTTTTGAAGAGGGTATTCAGATAGACACACATCTTTGGTTTGAATTGAAAGCTGAGCCCAGCAGGGGAATTTGTCTTGCACAAAGTAACTTGCTATTCAGTGCCCAGGTGAGCTCGTCCCCTTGTAAGATGTACAGTACTGAGGCACATTACTGAGGATTGACCCAGTTTAGGCTGAGCAAAAACATCACCTCCCGAGTCATTGCTGAGGACTCTGTTTTGGGTTCAACAGCTCTGCGTGTAAGCTGAAAAAAATGTCCGCGTGCTACACTTCACCATACCCAAATCCAACATGCGCTTGTTCAGCCACCTCGGGAGTCTGTTAAAAAGCTGCTGTTACTGCAGGGAATCCAGATGGACCAGGTCACTCCAGTAGCTGTAAAACAGACTTTATCTGCATCATCCTGAAAAACCCATGACTGCCTGGCACAAACTGGATCTCTGGTTTAAGATGAAGGGTGTGCCTTGTAGGCAGGAGTCCTATTTGTGAACAGCAGTCAAAGGTTTTCAGTCGTGCATTGTTCTTGGACAACTTCTGCAAAGGACACAACAGCAGAACTCATGCCCTTGCTGCTCTTAATAGAACCAACATCTAGTAGAGATACCAGGATGAAAGCCCAGATTTGAAACCCACGTGCTACCCTGTGGAGATAGTTTGTATTGCAAGCTAGTCTCATGGTGGTGCTGTCTTGTGGAAAGCAGTTCTGTGCCTAGGCCTGTGTGGGTTGGACTTAGACTTAGGGATGCGAAGGCAGCATGCTTTCCTGCTGAAGGCCAGAAAGGACTTGCTGCTTTGAGAGCCAGCCCTTCCATTGTTGGAAGAACTAGAAATGAACCCCCTGGGGTGAGGAAGGTAAACTCCAGTCCTCACAAATCCAAGCAAATAGTGGCAACAATGTAAGTCTTCCATGGTAGCTATGTTGCAGGGAATTGCTATAACTTTGAGAGGGATATCATGGCATCTCCATTCTTAATGTATGTCACAAACCAGTCCACAAAAAGCGGGGCAGGGTGGCACCTTAGAGACTAGCTGGTTCAGAGAGGCATAAGCTTTTGTAGGCAGGTGCACCTGACCGAGTAGGTTGTTTCCTATGAAAGGTCATGACCCAGTTAGTCTCTAAGATGCCACCCTGCCCTACCTTCTCCCTGACTTCAGGCTGATGCAACTAGCTGCCTCTGCAAACAAATCTCCTTGTGTCTACATATCTAAGTGCCAGGTCTTCCATCCATCACATTAGTTTGGCAGCAGGATTTATACCCTGGAGGTTGGACCCTGTAGTGTGGTGGTGCTGTCACAGTTATCAGAGCAGATAGCCAGTCAGCCTAGCTAGAGGGAAAGGAAACAAGGACTGAAGTATAAGATGTCATATGCTCAGTGCTTGCTGTAAAGACCCTTATTTTAGAACTGGGGCTTGGTTTTTATGCTTGATGACTGCCATTCATTTAACCCTTTTCCTTTCACTTGGACTCCAGCAGATGTTTGACTTGCTCTTCTCTCCTGTCCTCCAGACTACATCTTCTGCCTTGAAAGGTGCCATCCAGCTGGGCATCACACACACGGTTGGAAGCTTGAGCACCAAACCAGAGAGAGATGTTCTCATGCAAGATTTTTACGTTGTAGAAAGTATTTTCTTCCCAGGGTAAGGGCTTTTCTTCTTTGTGACACTTCCCCATAGGAGGAGGCAATCTGTGAGTTATGGGTTTGTGCTGTTACCTACAGGTTAGGGCTTCTGAGAAAAGAAAGCAACACTGGTCCCAGACAGGCCACCCTAGGCATGTACTGAGGCCTGCCGAGCCCATGACAGCCGTAGCAGCTTGTCCTGCATTTGTTGACGTGGCACCTACACAACAGTGTTCTCAGCCCCTAATTTTAGGAGTTATTCAACCTTTCCATTACAGCAGGCATTCCACAATGGTTGCCCTAACACTATGTATGGCAGAAAAATAACTGAAGCTGAGGCAGGCAGGGGGTTAAGGCAAGGGAATTTGAGGCATTCAGCTTGTTTTGTCCGTCAGCCATGTATCATGGGGCTTTGGGTACTGGCAGAAAATTTTCTTTCTGTTGGCTTGCCCCTATATTAAAGGCATCTCAAAAATATGTCTTTTCTTTCCCTCCCCCACTCCACTCCCAATCAGTGAAGGAAGTAACCTAACCCCAGCTCATCACTACAATGACTTCCGTTTTAAAACCTACGCTCCGGTGGCATTCCGCTATTTCCGCGAGCTTTTTGGAATACGGCCGGATGACTATCTGGTAAGTCACTGGGAGCCAGTTTTTATTTTTAACTTATTCTCTGGCTAATTTTTTTCCCCTGTTCCCCAGCATTGGGGATGCTGTTCCTCCCCATTCCAAACATAGCTAGCACAGTGGATGATGTCCCTTCCCCTGCCTTTCCAGGGTTTGCCTTCATTTAGTAAAGCTTTCTAACAGTGAGTCTTTGGGTAGGCTTGCCACTGCAGCCCTGACCCATAGCTCACCCTTGCTAAATGGACAGATTAATATTTGCCTCTTTCTGTCAGATCATCATCAGCCCAGCACAGCCCCACACAGGGTCCCATAACCTTTTCTTTCCTGTCTGATAATGCATGTCTTCATGCCTGATAGTCTTTGCTTGGACCGACTGGAGACTTCCTGGTAACTAGTGCTGAATGTGAATGGCCAGTGGTCCCTGCAGGTTGAAATGCAGCCCCTGGAATTCCATTGCGCCCACAACTCTGGTCTGTTAATGTAGAGATCAAAATGGAGTCTCCTACACCAGCCCATGTGGTACCTGCAACCACAATGCCATCTATTAGGCAAGAGCAACTGCAGTCTGCTCTGTTCTGCACACACTCAGTGTGGGCTTTGGATAGCAACAAATTCCCAAGAGACCTTGTGGTCAGCCAGGCTTCGTTGCTTCAGGCTTTGCTGAAGTTCATCCATGGTTACTAAACCAGCAGCTTCAGAAAGGAACCGCCAACCTCAACCTCCTACAGTAGGTAGCTGCACTAGCCATAAGAAGCAACAAGAGGCAGGTGTGGTGTCGGCAGCTTTATCTCCCCCAGTAAGATGTGTTTTAGTACAACACTGGTGACAGGTGTAAGAAGGCCCTAACATGGCAAGATGTGGACTACAGGGAGACCATCATGGCTGGGTTCCCAGCCTACCCTATGACTTGCTATACAGGATTTCACACCCTTCTTGTTAAACCATCTTTAGTTATCAGCTAGCATATATATTGGTAACCAGTCAGTGTGTTGACTTGAATATTTATCTGTGTATAATCTGTTCTGCACTTACACCTTTGCAGAAGGCATTACTGTATGTGCTAATGGATAATGACTCTATATCTATATGCACAGACAACAGTGGGGAAGTCAGAGCTTGGATAAAGGGACCCCTGCTTTTATTTATTCAGTCATGACTTTATGCTTTGCTCTTTCATCCATCTTCCTCAGTACTCACTCTGCAATGAGCCACTCATTGAGCTCTTCAACTCTGGGGCCAGTGGTTCCATCTTCTACGTGTCCAGCGATGACGAGTTCATCATTAAAACAGTTCAGCACAAAGAGGCAGAGTTCTTGCAAAAGCTGTTGCCGGGATACTATATGGTAAGTCGCTCGGGTGAGGTGTCTGTATTGGATGAAGCAATGATTATCCAAAGGTGTAATTTGAGTGTGTCATGTTTTGTTCTGATAGTCTCAGCAGTACAGTCAGAGGTGCTGGGCACTCATAGCTCCCAATCACCACAAACTATGCTTTATCAGCATACTGGCCTTATGGGTGGCTGGCTCCATTTTGCCTTTGCTGCCTCATACTGGTACAAGTTCCTGTAGGAATATTAAAAATATCAGCTCTTGGATTTCATTTGCCTTCAGAACTGCTCATTGGTTTTTGAAGAGTGCTGCCATCCCTCAAAGGGACTGGGTGGTAGATTCCTCATGACTGAATAGAGGGAAGTGCACCTGTTCAGCCCCCCTTTAAATCAGTAGTCATTCAAGGAATTCACATCTATACATACAAAGACTCCTGTGTTTTCTTTTTCTCCCCTCCTCCTTCTGACCTGTCTTCACTCCATCAGTGTTGTTGGTCAGATGCTCCGTTTAAACTGAATATGCCAATGTTTCGAGGCTTCTAGGTTTCTAAATAAAGAAACTTGAAAATACCAGCCTAAATAGAAAGGCAGGCCCTGTCCATTCTGGAACAGAATAAAACACTGTCCAGCCACCAACCCTAGCACACAATACATGTGTAATCCCACTATAGATGGACAGGCATTTGGAACCAGACAGTCTCTTGGAGCTTTAACAACTGTCTTTCTGAATGGAAATTTGGCCATGATAACGCGGTTCATGTCCCTGGCTCATAAGTGCCATCAGATTCTTAACGTCTGCACTGATCCATACTTCTGCTGGTACCAGCACTTTGCCTAGAATACTGGTTCTCTACAGCCCATACTTCGGAGTCTTTTCTGTCACACCAATGCCAGTATCTGCAGCCATCAGGGCTTAAAACTATCCCATCCCTAACCTGCTCAGCAGATAAGGTCCTAGCTTGAGGAGGGAATGTAGCTTAAACCTCCTTTTGCCCTGAAGGTTCCCGCAGCTGGGTTCTAGTAGGTAATTGTGTGGGTGGGGGAGCACATTCCTTCTGCATGTGAAATATCCCAGTTTGCAAAGCAAACCTGAACTACTCAACATTGTCCATCTGTTTCCTGAGTTGTCCAGCCCTTGTTTTTTTGCTTGGATCCCTGAAAGCCCTGTTCTGATAGGGGTATGCCAATAAGGAGAGGATAAGAAGGCAGACTGATTTGTAATGAGTGATGTGGAGAATGTCTCTTATCTTTGTGGTTTAGAACTTGAATCAGAACCCTCGGACGCTGCTGCCAAAGTTCTATGGTTTGTACTGTGTGCAAGCTGGGGGCAAGAACATCCGCATCGTCGTGATGAACAACCTGCTGCCCCGCTCTGTGAAAATGCATCTGAAATATGACTTGAAAGGTTCCACTTACAAACGCCGGGCCTCCCAGAAGGAGCGGGAGAAGGTTTTTCCTACCTACAAAGACCTAGATTTCATGCAGGACATCCCAGATGGCCTGTTTTTAGACTCTGACATGTACAATGCCTTGTGCAAAACACTACAGAGAGATTGTTTGGTGAGTGACGGGTGAGACAAGCTATTTTTGAAACTGGTTTACCACCTCCCCTGCTGATGTCATAATTTGAAATGGTGTGTACACACTTCTTTTGAAATGGTGCATACATACAGATTCTGTTCTGGCTCTTAGGCCCATCATAATGTCATCTTTTTTTTCCCCCTTGGTGTTTCTCCTGTCCAGATAATTTGCATGATGCATTTAAGTTGAAAATAGGTCTCTTCCCCAGAAAGACATAGCCCAGATATCAGCTTCTTCCCCTTCTAAACTCTGGCTTCCCAGTGTGACCAAGTACAGACCTGGAAAGCTTCACTGTCACAGTCCATTCGGTCTTTGGTACACCCATCACAATTTCGAATGAGGGACCTAATTCTCAGACAGTTCCACCCTGAGTTAAGCTCAAAATTGTAACCTGGAGGGATAAGTTACCAGTCTCAGCTCTCACTGGCTAGTTTGACTTCTCTACCACAATGCATTATGGTAGAAGTCTTAATCTTATTCTCTCAAGAGTTGTTCTGTGGCCAATGGGTAGGATGTCAGGCCCAATTCGTTGTGTAACCTTGCCTAAATTCCTTCCTCTCCATACCTCAGTCCTCTGTGGAAATATTTACTCTCCCTTATATAATTGCAAGCCAAATATTAGATGCCATCCCCTTGGTGCAATCAGACCTCTGGTAACGCTACCACTGTGTTACGTTTTGCAAAGCAAGCTGGTCATTAAATCGCTCTGACTGTTTCTATCCAGGTTCTCCAGAGTTTTAAAATCATGGATTACAGTTTGCTTGTGGCGATCCACAACATGGATCAGGCACAAAAAGAGCATGCCATAGCAGATGGGACTTCCCAGGCAGATACGCGGAGGCCAGCAGCCCAGAAGGCCCTCTACTCCACAGCCATGGAGTCTATCCAAGGAGAGGCCCGGCGAGGCGGTACCATAGAGACTGACGATCAGTATGTCTGCATTGGTTTACATTCGCATTAAACAATGGGGCAGAACCCAAGGGAGATGGATTTATGGCCAGGCTTTGGTTGAGTTTGAGGGATTCTCAGACTCCTCTATAGTGGATAGCTATGCATTAAACCTCCAACACTTCCACGCACCAAAAATGGATGAGCTCCCGCAATTTTGGGTTAAATAGCTGAAAAGTGAGAGCAAAATAGTTGTTCAGTAATTTCTTAGCCCAGCTGTAGCTGCTCTCTACATGTCGATGCTCATTACATAGCTAATTCCCTTAATGTTCAGCCCACGTGAGGCAGAGTCATATTGAGGCAGCGGTGAGTGAAAAGACCTTGATCAAAGTCATGCTCCCACACTTTGTGCTTCTTGTGTTTCTTTCTAGAATGGGAGGCATTCCAGCCCGCAATGCAAAGGGGGAGAGGCTGCTTCTATATATTGGAATCATTGACGTGTTGCAGTCCTACAGGTAATCGATATTAAACGACTACCAATGTTTTACGTGAGGATAAAGGAAGTTTCCAGTAGCAAAATTGGCTTTTTTTTAAATTTATTTTTGTCTCCGTCTCTATTTGCAATGGTTTAAATTGCTTCCTGAGGGCAAAAAAGTGGTATTGCTCTCATTCTTTTTTTTTTTTTTTCCATTGGTTGAGATCCTAGCCTGCTTTCCTGGATCTTGCATCCTTCATTTATCCAGTATCAGAGTATAGGCTTACTCTCAGAAAAAAACAGGTTCTTAAGACTTGGTTATTATATAGAGGGAATGTGCAGGAAGTGGCTGAGAAAGTAAGTGTTGGCCTAAAATGGATGTAATTCTCTTCTGCCTGACATAAATAACTGTGGGGCTCTGCTCCAGATGTGTGTGGCATTTGTGTCAGGACAGCATTTCACAGGGCATTTTAGCACTTGAATAAAAAAGAGAATTGTCTAAGAACAAATGTCAAAAGCCTCCATTAAAAATCAACAAGTTGCACAGTTGATCACTGTTTCGTGCTTGTGAATACCTCCTCTTGGAGGGGGGAAAAAAAAAGCTGCTGTCGAACATGTTTGTTTGAAGCCAAAACAATTGACTGATAGTGTTGGTTGCAGTTCAGTGTTAGAAGCCAGACTTTAGCACTTTGACCTAACATAAGAACACTGATAGCGAAGCATGAATGTGGAAAAACTCACCTCTTCACTCCTCAAACTTTCCTTTTCAGATTCATTAAGAAATTGGAACACTCCTGGAAAGCTCTGGTACATGATGGGGTAGGTTGCACAAATGTTATTCTTAGATTAGCTGGTAGCAGTCTGAACTGCATTCTGCTGTGTCCAGTCGCATATGTGGTTTTGTGTTGAGGCCTGGATTTTAAAGTGCTGTTTCCTCTCATATAAGACCCGCTCCCCGAAATAAGATCTGCATCTTGTTTTTGGTTCATAAGTTTTTTGTTTAAGTTAATAAGTATAACCATCTCTGTACTACTGTTGGAGTGTTGTAGCCAGCAGGGGCAACACATAGGGGGTGCACATGGGTACACATGCACTCCCTGAGCGTGGCAGTGCACCCCCTACAAAAACGCTGCCAGCAGCCCCTTGGTCAGTTCTCCTCCTCCTCCTTCCCCCCCCCCCCAAAAAAAAACCCCCACAAAAAAACACAAAAAAACAGTGCCGGTGGCATCTTCAGGAGCTCCTCCTTTACTGCTGTTGCTCTCCCACCACCATCATGCCCCTCTCCCCAGCCGCCGGGGGCATGCGCCTTTCATGGTAGCCAGGATGGTCTAGGACACTGGTTTTCAACCTTTTTTCATTTGCAGACCCCTTTGGAAATTTTGAATGGAGGTGTTGGATCCCTTTCAGTTGTAAGCATGGGTATTCACATACTTTTGATTTGATCATAGTCATCTTTTGCAGACCCCCATGGGTCCAAAGACCACAGGTTGAAAACCACTGGTCTAGGAAATGTATGAGGGCCAAGGGCTTTGTGTGATAGCTTTTACTGGGCCAACTGTTTAGTTGGGAGAGATGCTGGATGTCTGTCTCTTGTGTATCAAATACTTTTCCTCGGGTCATACAAACCCCCTTCCCTCTTACAACAGTCTATAATGCTTGACTAGTTAAAGTTAAGAACACTTACCACTCATGTCCACTAGAAGCTACAAATCGCTTTATTAACACTCATATAAAAGTATGTCTTTAATCTAAACTGTGGCTGCATTTGCTTCAAAATATCTGTAACTGTAGAAAGAGAGAATTTTTGCGATTTCCTAGTTGATCTAATAAAAGGTATCATCTCTGAACCAAGAATTTTAGAGTTTTGCATTCCATAACTCTACAAGAAACCCATGTTGTCCTAAACCTTAGTTAAAATCTAAACCTATTCAAACCAATTGTCCCTTGACTTCCAGGACACTGTATCTGTGCATAGACCCAGCTTCTACGCAGACAGGTTCCTACGGTTCATGTGCAACACAGCATTCAAGAAAATACCATGTAAGTGTTTCTTTGCAGTGGATAGCACCTTCACACTTTAGTCTTGTTTGGAGAGAAGATAAAGGAGAAGGGTGTTTGACTAGTAGGAAGCTTGTTGTGCTGTGTCAGGGTTTTTCTTGGTGGCAGGAAGATATTTCGCCCCACTGAACACACATAACAAGACTTAGAGGAAAAATCTTCTCTATCAGCTTGTTCCTTCACAGCACAGCACTTTTTTCTGTATCCATTGAATGAAGAGATTGAGGCTGTTGCTGTCAGACTGCATGGTGGCTTTTGGAGAAGGGGATGCTGAGATCTCCTTTTCTTCTGTTTTCCAGTGAGACCTTCTCCTTCCAAAAAAAGCCGGTCAGGCACGACTGTCCAGCGGAGGACAGGGCAAAGTGGAGCCCCCATCCAGGCCCAGTTGTCCTGTGAAACAAAGGCACAAGTAATGACAGAAGCAGATGTGGAGCAAGGTTGGTGCCAGCACCAGAGAAGTTGGGTGAAGGGAATTGCCTCTCAGAGTACTTAAAGATCAGATTTGTTGGATCAGAACTTTCCATTGATTAGCTTTGGGTGCATTATTATCCTTTCTCAGTGACTCTGCCAGTCTGCTGATGGGGCCTGTTCTGGGATAACGTGCAACAGCAAGCCGACATGAATGCTGTATCTGTTAAGGACCCTTGGATTTATTCCAGGTGTCAGCAGGCCCAGAGGAGTTCAGGCTTTCCAAACTATCCCTCACAGTCCACATAGGCACCTCCCAGCTCTCAGTCCCTTTTTCCTTAAAGGTAGAATATCTATTGATGTGTAGGCATAATTAGGTTTGGAGGCCAGTGAAGCTAAGAAATGACAAGATGCTAGAAGGCATTAGGCACTGATGAATAGCAAGTATATCCAGTTATGACAGGCTGTGGAAGGGGGACAGTAAAAGCTTGTAATTCAGGGTATGCGCCAGTCCTTAGCTGTCAGAGACCAGCATGAGCCTTAGGCAGATCTGCCTCCCACAGGATTCCTGCAGTATTTGTCACAGACAGGAAACTATCCTGCTTGGATTGCTGGTCTGATCCAGGACCCTGATTCCTGTGGCCAGGGTCTCTCCTGGTGGATAGTTCCCTGCCTGATAGTGCTCTCCTGTGTATGCAGGTCTCAAGCTTAACATTCCCACTGATGCACTAAGTATACAGGACCCTTCTGTTCTCGGGCCCCTGCAGGATTGCTTGTAATGTGATGTAGCTCAGGAGGGCTGCTGAAAATCTTGATGCCCGATGAGTTATTGCCATTTATGTAGTGTAATGCTCTAGATCAAGCCCTGGATGGAACAGCCTGCTCTGTGTTCTTCCCCCAGGTTCGCATCTTGGCCGCCCAGATCTCCTTCCCCGAACACCTCCAGTAGATGAAGCTAACAGTGATTCCATAGCGACAACCTTGTCCACCTCTTCCTTGGGCAGTGGTGGCCTCAACTCTCCAGCAAACAGGTAAGCCCTTTCCAGGTGCTCCTGTGCATGGAAGGACAGCATTGCTGGCAAACTGGGCACCTTCCACTGCAGGACTGATCCATGCTGCTTTGGAATGTGATTGGCATGCTCGCTGAAGCGTACACCTCTTTGAGCAGTTCTCACATACCAGGCTGGTTGTTCCATCCACTCCAAGAACGTGCACGGTGTCCTTATTATGTCTTGTCCTTATAACATGTGTAGTGATTTGTTTGCAGATAAGTCATGGTTGCATCTTCAGCTTTTCTCAGGTGGGAACTTTCCTGGCCTCTCAAATTCTGCTCTTTTTTTGATCATTTGGAAAAAGAGCTTGATGTGAATCATTTAGTGATAAGGAGAAGAGCATGAACGTAACAATGAGCAGGGTTTAAAGAAATAACCCGATTTGGTTGAGTATGCTCAACTTCCATTGGCTCAGTAAGAAATCGAGAATGAAATGCCTCGGTAAAGGAGGCTGAAGGTGAATAACAGATGCCTTGTTGTTTCTTCAAAGTAAGTTGCATGGCCAGCAGCAAGGAAGCACTGAGGGGACTGCCTTGAATGTCTGCTTTGTTGCAAAAGGGGAAAGAACAATCATGGGAGACCTGTGATGGGGAAAATCCCTTTTATGGAAGCTCACAGATCCTTTGTAACTTCCCTTATCACCAGTGATCAGAAACCCTTTGTCCCCAATCAGAGCCCACAGACTGCAGAACATCACACACCCAACCTAACACCTGGTTCACATTCCTTTCTGGCCAGAACTGGATTATAAAATTTCTAATGCCATCTCAGTGCCCCAAACATCTTTGCAGGGATCCTGACAGCTTCTCCTTTTCAATGAAGCGGCATGTCGGAGGCTTTATTTTTGTTTGTTCACCACTGAGGGTCTCTCCTCTTTTAATTCCTGCTCAGGTCAGTGGGAGTGCAAGTTCACAAATCCGAAAGCTCAGCAAAGGATTTGACTAGAACCTCTCCTGGCATCTGCTCAACTGGGTGAGGGTGAAACCGGACTTTGCCTGAAACCTCTTATGTTTTAAACACTGGTTCTTTTGTCTGTAGAGGAATGGAGTACTGTAACAGCCCATTTGTCCGGAGAGAGATGACCTCTTTACTGTTCAGGGACTCTAGGGGGTCTGTTTGCAGTGAGTTCACCTTTATGTAATACAGTACCCTTGAATGCAGTTGGTACCTCCCCAAGATACAATACCTTTAAGGGCATTTGTAAGCTTACAAATGAAGCAAGAAATCCCTTGAGGGGTATGGTGTCATCATTGTATGATATGTCATTACCCACATTTAATAGATGGGTTTGGTCATGGTACTACTTCAGAGCTGGAATCCCGTGAATAAAGCGCTGCAGTGAGACCTGATTTTTGTAGTTAGAGCAGTGGTCTCTTGGAGCTTGCATTCAAACTCCAGGGCGCTGTACAGAGGGGATAGCACGATGGCATTGTTTCATCCTTTTACAGCAGTTCTTTACAGGGAAGCAGAATGTCTCCTCCTCTATAGAGTCAGCCTGTCTCTACCTGTAGTTACCACTCACCAGGGAATCTCGTCTCTTTGTCCCGTGTAGGTCAGTAGGATTGTGGACTCGCAGCTCCGAAAGCTATTCGTTTAGAACGCTTCTCAGCTTCCGCTCGCATAGGTGAGGGTAAAGAGGTAGACCACGCTTCTAGACATGAGAGAGTCAGCCTCCTAGCTCTCAGTGACAGGTTGATGTAACAGCCTGCCTCTCTGCTTATCCTGCTTTGTTCATTCTGTATGCAGAAGCCCATATGCCTCTTGCAGTTATGTAAGCTATACTGGGTAGCATCATATGCTTACAGCAAGCCCTGGGTACCCTACAGCTTCCATGGACAGATGTATACAGCTATCCCTGTGCAACGCAGTGCTGTTGGCAGGTCTCCGTTGCCATACTGGATTGAATCATTCATCCACTAAGGCCAATATCGACAACGCTTGAAGGCAAGGCACGGTGCTGTTTGGATGGGAAGGAGCATTTCTCTTTGATGGCCCTAGAAGTTAGCATGTGTGCTGTCCACTGACCACTCTTTTTACTGAGTGGCAAAAGAGCGTGGCACTGAGTTAAAACTCTCCAGGGTTCTCCCTGGACCCATAATTATCTGACGGGGTAGAAGCATTAATCAGCATTTGCAAATCACCATGAGATCTCTGGTTAAAAACCGTACTACAGAGAAGTGCTGTTGCTTGCAGTCAGCATCTCTAATAAGGAATGCCAGAACCTGAGCTTCCTTGTGGGTTTAGCTGGCCCTCTGGCTAGGTCCCCTGGCACTGAATTAATGTCCTTAAATTCCCTCAGTTTTTATGAAGAGAGTTTCATAGGTGCTTTCACCAGGCATTTCTCTGTAGCCAACACTTGACTGTAATGGTTTAATTGGGGGTAATCCTGCCCTGAGCTAGGGATGTAAATTATTAAATGATTGATTGTTTAAGCCCAATAATAACCAGTTATAGTTTAGTGTGGGATAAGGTCAGCCTGGCAGGGAAGGGGAGGAAGGGAAGCTGGGCAGTGCCCCAGCAGGAACTGGAAGGCAAGAGGGAGGAAGGGGGGGGCACGAAGTCTAGTACCTGTAGCTAGGCTCTGGACCCCAGTGCAGCTGCTTGCAGCCTCCCTGCTGCCTGCAATAAGCAGCCTGGGCTCCATGGCAGGTGGCAGGGGCCTACCTGAGCCTGGGCTGCTCACAGCAGGCAGTGGGGAGGCTGCAAGCAGCTGCACCAGGGTTTGTGAAGCCCAGCTATTAGATACTAGTCTCATCATCATCCCTCCCCCCCCCACCCCCAGGAAAGTAGCTCAGCCATACCAATTAATCATTTAACCATTGTAATTACAACAGGTTAAACAGATTTGTTTTTAATTGGTATATACTTCCCTATCCTGAGCTTGGAGCTAAACTAGGTGACCGTATGAGGTCCGTGCTCTCCTATGATTCTAAGATTTCCCTTCTTGTGCCTTCAGCACAGCTGAAACGTGTAGGCAGCACTGATCATTTCTTCTTTTATTTCTGCTTAGGTCAGTGGGAACAGAAGCTTGCAGTTCAGAAAGATCAGCAGAGGAGGTAGCTAGCATGCCCCTGAGTACCAGCTCGAGTAGGTGAGGCTTAACTTAGGCAAGGAAGATGCAGCATTGTATTAATTGCCAGCCAGGGTATACAATGGTGTCTTTAACAAGGAATTCCAGAGCCTGAACTTCCTTTTACAGTTTGTAAATTTTCATGATTTTTATGTTTTTAAAAAAAGGTTCTATGTGGGTTCTAACCAGGCACTTCCACCCACGTAAATTCAGTCCATATGAAACTTGTATGCACATTTGAGCATCTCCCATTTCATCTTTGCATAGGTCAGTAGGAACAACAGCTCACAATTCAGAAAGTTCCATGGAGGAAGTAGCTAGCGCAGCCCTGAGTTCCTGCTTGTATAGGTGAGGCTTATCTGGGTAGGGGAGATGTAGTTTTTTTGCAGCTGGGCCCAGCTGTGTTCTAGGCGTGAGGACCTGGACAGCTCTGATGGAGGTCCCTTCCAGCCCTACTTCTCTGATTTCTATGATACGGACATCAGCAAACAGATGTTGAGCAGAGGGCATGTGTTTGTAAGGCAGCCATTTGTCATGCAGTGAAACATGACAGCTGGACACCATCACATGTTCTGCTCTGTTGGTTGCTTTTACATATCTGAGATGCTTTATACCACATGGCGAGACCTGTGCTTCCAGCAGGCCCTGGAAGTTGGCTGTGGGAGGCTGCACACCTCCGTGCCCAGCTGTCTCCCTGCAGTCATTACCCCTCATTTAGGTTCTAGTGGCTGTCCTAAAATAAAGAGACCTGCAGTATGTTCCACATGCAGTCTGTGCTCAAGGATGTTCAACCCCCTGGCCCATAGGCCACATCTAGTCTGGAGTGTCATGTCATCTGGCCTGCAGGTTTCTCCACGGGTCCAAAAATATGGCGGTGGAGGAGCAGTGGCAATTCTTAATTGCTACTCTTGCTGCCAAATTTCCCAACCTATGGGGAGCCCTGCAGGCAGATAGCATGGCCCTGTGTGCTAGACTGGGCACAGGGTGCTGCTGTGTAACAAGGTTGGATCTGACCCACAGGCTGGCCCCACACTCCTCATCCCGCCCATGGAACTGAAAGGCTCTATGACATCGATCTAGGTCATAGATTCTCAACCAGATGGGGGAGGGGTCAGGTCACACAAATGTTGGGGGTTTCCTCTTGCCCATTCCTTCCCTCTATCATGAATATTGCTAACCTAAACTAGTTTCTAAATGCTGAGGAGGAGGGGCCAGAGTCCTGAAAGGCAGGGATACAGGGGAAAAGGGGGCTGTTTCCAACTGATTTACAGTATAAAGCAGTGAAAAATTGGCTCCCTGCTCACCCCTAGTCTAAAATGTCAGGTCTCCTGTCGGCTTTCAGAGCACACAAGTTATGGAGGCAGATTGTTGTCATTCTATGAATTAAAAATGCATCATGGGACAGAAGGTGGTTAGAAAGAAACTGAATGTCAAGTAAGGGCTTGTGAATCTGGAAAGCCTAGTAAATGCCAGTGTGAGCAGTTGGATTGCTGGTGCCTTTATCTGATCTCCAAAACTGCTTTCCTGTGGGATTCTAGATATCCATTCTGATGGTGTGCTGAGGAGCTCTGCAGAGAGGAACAGTGTGTAATTGGACAAAGTGTTTCACGTCATGTTTAAGATGCTTGTTTACACAATAGCAATTAAGCATAGGGGCGAGAAGGCATGTGCACAGAGAGCAAACAGGAGGGATGAACGTGTTAGGAATGGAAATGCAGTGACGTGCATTGGCCTTGGCTTTGTGTTTCCTTATGAGTCACCGCCCAACAGCGGCCCTTGAAACATGCCTCCAATAGAAGGCTCCTCTAAAATACCTGCCAGTTCCATTCACAGCGTGCTCTGTCCCAGGAAGAGGTGATGACAAATGACAGCCTTCCTGTTGGGTGGGGAGGAGACAGCCAGCTGTTTCCCAAGAGCTGGTAGTGCCTTTCCAGGCCTGTCTGCCAGCTTGGCAAATGAGCCAGTGGCTGTGGCCCCATATTGGTGCCTTCTCTGTATTTGAGTATTAGCTTGTCAGGAAACCCCAAGACACGAAGTATTGACGACTTATTTTAAAAACTGCTTTATAGGTCTCCCTCTTGTGTTTCCCCAGTGGCTCACCAGGGCCCTCCCTACCAGAGCGCACCGCAGAGCTGAAAGAACAATTTGAAGACCTGCCTGAGACGGAGATAAGCTTTGTAAGTGCCTGCGTTCCAACACCAGCAGCTAGAAAGATGCTGGCAAGTAGCTTGGTGCACCCGATCAAAATAGGCTTTAACTCCACTTTAACTGTGGAAACGCAGGTTGTGCTGAGTGTGCAAAAAGCAAGGCATGCAAAGGACTAACTTTCTGTGTTCTGAGAGACTCCAGCTGTGACCCAGTCTTGTAGGTGTCCCTCAAAGGGCATACGATTGCTGTAGGTCCAGAGATGAGAATGGAGTGGAGATAGCTATGCTTCCTGGCCTCAGGGGTACCCAAGAACGCAGCAGAGAATGAAACTGGCCAGGCTTGGTTTTGTTCTCAAAGCTGAAAGGAAACTAAGAGCATCCTTCACTGCCGGGCTGGTCAGGGACATACTCACGCCTCTGTCCCAGTCCCTGTTGCTGCTGCTGGTGCATGGTGTAGAATGGACCATGTGAACATCTTGGTTCCTTCACACCTCCAGAAGCAGAGCTGTGCTTTGGGATACTTCTTACTCTCTGCTAGGTCCTGGAGCTTGGAGGACCGTGTGTAGGGGAACAGCTGCAGTGGCAGGGACTAGAACCAAGAGCTCCAGCATGTCCCTGGCCAGATGGACTGGCAGAGCTGTTGGGTAATGTGGGGCTGTGCTTGCTAGGTTGCAGCAGGTGAGGACACTGAGTAGGAACGTTTTGCTGCAGTCTGGGGTGCTGTTGGGGAGGAGATCTGCCTTCAACCAGTGTGTGAGCAAGGGCTGCCTGCCCCCAAGTCCCCTTGGGTGTTCAGGGCTGGGGACTCTCTAGGGTTTCCAGGATAGGGGTTGCTCTGGTGGGTGCTCCCCGAGGCTTCCCCGCTGCTGAGAAACTGCAGGGAGCTGAGGCAAGTTCAGTAATCGTTGTACCCGTGCTTTGTGAAGGAGCTCTTCTTCCCCCAATCGCATTACCTTTGAAGATCAACCCTATAGAAAACAATACTCTGGCCCTTGTGACTGAGCTGTTAACTTGGCCTTCTCTGACTGAAGGGTTCCCACCCTCTGATTGAGACTACATCCTGTAGGAGTGTATGTCTCAGCTAGTCCAGAGAAACCAGAAGGTGCTAAAACTAGTTTAGAAGGGGAAAGAATGGCTTCAAGACATGTGAGCAAAGTGCTTGGTCCTGGGCAGGGACAAGCTGCTGGCCTGTTATTTGCCCCCAGGACTTTAACTCAGCAGCTTTCACCAGCAAAAGAAATTCTTTCAAATGGTTTGGTAGAAGGCAGGGCTGAGTGACACCTAGTTAAGCCTTTAGGATGCCATCCTGCCCTGCCTGACTTTACTTGTTTCTTTTCTGTTTTCTCTTTGCAGTGAAATGACATGGGGAGAATTTTGACGTAAGCAGAAGACTTCTCCGTACTCTGTCCGGTCTGTGGAGTACGATGCACATTCAGCCCTTGATGCTGATTATTTTTTTTAGAAACCTTTATCTGGATAAGAAGGCCTAGAAGCTGGGAGACTGGGACGTACTTAGTGGCATAGTATTAACAAAGACTGAGTCTGGAGCAGCTGCCTCTTTGGAATGCCTCCTTGGAGTTTCTTTTTTGAGCAAAGCCCTTAAGGAGGGGAGCTGGTTGCAGCTAGCATGTTTTCTGCTGTCCTCCTTTCTTTATAGCCTGGCAGGAACAAGGCCAGTCACCTCAGAGGAGCAGGAACTGCTTGCTACGGGCTGAAGCCCATTCAGGAAAGGGAGCCGACTTTCAGAGAGAGCCTGAGTTGCTCTGGGACAAGGACAAACCTTGCTAGAAGAATGGCCAACTCTCAAGAATGCTGGGGGATACGGACATTGGAGCCTCGTTGGAACAGTCTGCAACAGATCAATGTTTTTTGGTTTTTGGTTTTTTTATTATTATTTTTAAACGTTAATTTAAGTTTTTCTTTTCTTGATGTTAGTCATCATTTTATTTTTAGTCAGTAATAATTATATCCATTCTGAGGGGGGGGTTGTTTTTTTTAATTTAAAAATCTTTTATCAGTGTTCCACCAAAAATAGGATCCCATGTGCGAAGGGAGCAGAAGGGGGAAGTGCCTGTTCTCCTCCCATGGGACTGGTATCGATCATGGAGGTCTTTTTTATTTTCTGTCAGCCGCTCTTTCGACACGGCATTGTCCCCAGAAGGTGACGTAGAACAGCCCCCATCCCCACAACACTTGGTGCTTTATCACGGTTTGGTGCTCGGAGGACTTGGGATGTGCAAAGCTTTTAAGATGTCAGGGAGGTTTGGAATTGCTTTGTCCCTTTTGAAACTAACCCTTTTTAGTCTCCCCCTTGACTGATACAAGTGCAAAGGAGACAAGGGGAGATCTTTGTAACTGGCTCAGTTTTTGTTTTTTTAAGCTTTTCAGTGTTTCTTAAGCAAATGGACCAAACCTATCCTGCTCACAGGGTTTTTTCCCCTCCCCCCCAGTATTATGTCCTTTTTTGGGGTTACCACTTGGAAAACCTCACACTTTCTATAGGCAAATTCCCTTTTGATAGCTCTGCTTGTCTCTTGCCGCACCGGCTGCAGGCTTAGCATATAGCGCTCTGACAAGCCCCAGACGGAGATTCCCACATACATGTTTGCCAGCTCTCTGTGCATAGTGATGAAGTGTGTTGCACTCGGATTCCAAAGCTCCGCTTTTTGGTTTGGTTTTTTTTTTTTTTAAAAGGAATAAGCTTGGAAGGTTGCATTACTGTCCCATGCATATAAACCTTAACTGAGCTATCTCCTGCAGACACTTGTCTAGACAAGTCAGAGCATACGTTGAACTGACTTATTTTCACTAAAACAATTTTTTTAATTAAAAAGAAGCGAATCTGCCTTTTTCATTCCCCCCCTGCAAAAAAAATTATAATCCTCCCACCCACCCTTTTTATATAAAAAAAATAATAATATAAAAAAAAAACCCCAACATGACCTTGCAACAGCGCAAGGCTTTGTGTGCTTTATTAGCAAGGTTTGCTAATAATGCTGAAGAATGTAGTGGTTGAGAAGGTTTCTTAAGTTGATGCATTGGAAGCTGAGATTTTTTTTTCCCCATCACACTTTAAACTTTTAGAGTGGATGAAGTGGAAGCTATTGGTTGTTTTTTTTTGTGTTAAGGTTACCTGTGAAAAGACCAAGTGGAATGGCCTTACTCGGAGCCTGGTGTCCAAAACCAGAAGGGTTTGGTGCCGGGTGAGAGCAGTTCCCTTCTTGTCCCGTAACTGGCATCTGACTCTTAAGGGTTCTAAAATACTTATCACAGATACAGCAGCAAGACGTGTACCCAGAAAATCAGCTTAGTAACAGCTGGAAATGTCTCTGGTAGAATTTCCCTTCTCCAGCAGGTTACACTTTATATCAGAAGTAACTGTCTATATTAGACACAGTTTCTTATCTTCCCTCCTAACTCATATTTTTTTGTTTTTGTTTTTACCTGGAGGAAAGATACCAATTCTCAATCTTTTTTTTTTTTTCATGATTTAATATTTATGAAATGTATTTAAGTGTTTTATTCTGGGAATAGTTATTCAGTGAGTAGGGAGGGCGTTTAACATTTATATCTCTTGTGAATATCAAACCTCTGCTTTGTAATGGTTTTTAAAACAGAAGTGCTTTTATTTGGCGTTTTACAAAGAAAAGTGGCAGGTGATGGATTTTTAACCTAGTAAAACTCGATCGGCTTAACTTCATTGCAAAGGTTTTGTTATCTTGCCAAAGGCTTGGGGAGTTGGGTTACAACCAGTAGCATGCTGTCTGGCTTGCTGATCATGTGTGCATGTGCACACATGTGTCGAGAGGGATCAAGCTGCTGGTTGCCAGACCCCTCTTTGTCTTGACATCACGTAAATGCCATGCAGCGGGAACCCTTGCTTCCTGTGGTGTCTAGCAGGGAGGGTCTGGCCTGCAGAGCCTACACCCATGTGAAGCAACTCGTGCCGCATCGTGAATATCGTCTTTTTAACCTTGTAACATTTTTTGTCATCCATCGGCTGTTTAAACAGAGTATTCGAAGCAAAAGCTGTCTCTTCTCAGCCTGTCTTGCACAGGGGAATTGCTCTGTGATGAGACCTAATATACAGTATGCTACTAAAACCACACGTCTCTTTTTCTCTCTCTCATTTCCAGCTGATGGGGGTGGGGTGGAGTAAGGGGCAGTTCTTCATCTGGTTCCAAAGGGGCAAGAGGTGTATGTACACGAAAAACCCTGCCTGCCTTGACCAAGCATCTGTAAATGCCACAGCCTGCCTTCCCCAGCGCAGACAGCTCAGGCTTTCACCAGGCAACTCCTGCCATGCTGTTCTTCACCAGGCTGCGGGCTGACTGCTGCGTTGTGATGCACAGCATGTCCCAGTTTAGGTGTCCAGTTCCCCTGGGCTAACCTGCCTGCTTCCCAGTCAGAGCAGAAGCCTGACTTTTAAAAGCACTGTGCAGCCTGTGGCTTTCAGAGGACTGCAGAGAACTTTTACCAAAGGTGGGGAGTGGGGAAGAAATAATAAGCTTGAACTCTGAGGTCATCTCTCTTTCAAGTCCAACTCTGCCTCTTCCTAACCTGCTCTCTTCTCTGAGGCCTGTACACTCGTACAGTTTGCTGTAGTGGTGACTGAGGAATACCGGCTCTATTTCTGCCTTGTTTTTGTGCTCCAGCACATTAGCAAAAGCATTAGAAGAGTGAACTGGCCCTGTGAGCTTGCCTCTTCCATGGCAGAGCCTTGGGTGGTCCTAGTACTGCTTGCTGGAAGGCCTGTTTTGCTGTTCCTGCCTTTGTGCTCCTGGCCTTTGCATCCTCATGTGTTAGGGCTTAGTTTGTTCCTCCATGCTCCATTAAGGCCCTTCTATAATAGGCCCCTCGCTCACATGTGTCTGAGCATCCCATCATTGTGTTCTGCTCTCAGTAGGAGGCAGGTGTTTAAAACGGAGCTGTCGGGCGCATTCAGATAAGCCCCGCAGCTGAGGCTGGGGACAATGGACTGTCCTAGCTCAAGTCCAGGGAAATCTGTTCCCCCTATCTTAAGCCCAGAATAAGATGCTGAACTGAAAGCGCTCCAGCCCCTCCTTGCCTTCCTCTACCACCTACCTTCCACAGGGAATTGCTTTGTAATGAGGGCATTGGAGGCCAGGATATTCACACTGAGACCCCCATGCATTGCCGCAGAAGCCTGTACAAAGCCTAGGTCCCTTCATGGAAGATAATCTGAGGCCCCCATCCTGAAACTAGCTTTGTGTGAGCTTCTCCCTGCTGCCATCTTAGAGCCAGAGCACCGCTTCATGTCACTGTCTCCGTGCAGCTGCTTTTTGACTAGTTCTTAGTGAAAACTGCTGCAAGGAGCTGGGCCCCAGCCCTGTATGGTTGAGCTCTGACCCAGGCTCATAGCACAGAGTATTTATTAAAGAAATGACATGAGCATCTAACTAGAGAGCCTTTAATCACTGTTGGCCAGCTGATCAGGCTGACTGACTGACTGGCAGAGGCTGTGTGCACAGAGTATTGTGTCCAAGGTGAAATGCACTAGTTGCATCTTTTATACAATTGTTATCCACTGAATAACTAGAAGCCACTCAGATTTCTATGGTCACATAAGAAAAGCAAGCCCCAGTCACCCCAGATACCCCCAGGCAGTTATGCTCTGTTTCATTACGGTATGTGTACCAATTTGTTGCCCCCTTATTGCTGGACCTCTCTCTTTCTAGAAGATGAGTCACCAGGGGAACCTAGCTTGAAATGAAGAAAGGAGAGGGAGGCCTACTAGGAGCTGAGATCTTAGCAAGACCAGGTTGGGGCCCCTAATTTAGCACATAACCAGGTGATCAGAAAGGACCAGGTGATCAAAGAGGACCAGTAGACACTTGTAACCAGCAAAGCAGAGGCAAACATGAGTTTTGGATTAGCTAGGGTTTATAAACAGCACCAAGTAAAAGGTCTCTCGGTACAAGGAACAGAAAGCAAAGCATAGGCATTGCAGAGAATCTTCTTTAATACCTTCTTTGCTTCGTTCTTCACTGAAAAGATGTGACCAGATATTTAAGGATGTGAACTTTAACAGAGAAGAGTGGAGCCCAGAGTTGGGACAACAGATTTATTCCTACCAAGAGTGGCTGGATGTGCTGAAATTCACCCCAGAGTTTGCAGTGCTACTGAATTAATCTCTGAACTGTTAGGAATGATTCTTGAGAACATGGTGAGAAGAGGCAAGGTCCCAGAGGCCTGGGGATGAGCATCTGCTTTTGCTCAGCTGGAACACAGTGTCCAATGCCCATCGCTGTGCTTCAAGGAAACATACAGAGCAGCCAGAAAACAGTGGTGAGAACATGTGGGGAGAAGATTGGAGGAATGCATTTATCTTGTCTAGGGAAGAGGGGTGACGCAGGAGATTGGTGTTAGGAGGTGGTGACTGATTGTTCTCCGCAGCTATTGAGGAAGTAGAAATCAGCTTCATTTCCAACAGCGAAGATTTAGGTTGGCTATTAGGAAAAAATGCTGATGGAAGGAGTGAAACACTGGGATCATCAAACTGCTGCTGCTAAGAAGAGGTTGGAAAAGTCTCTCTCGGGAATGGTCGAGTTAGACTTGACCTGGCCTTTGTGAGAACATAAGAGTTGTGATTTACTAGGTCAGATGATAGATCAGTCTTGCCGGGTCTGCTGTGTCATGCAGAGGCAGAGACTAGATGCTAGAAGGGAGACTGAACTGGGTATGACCAGGAATTTCTCCTGTTACTCTGTCATTTGCAGCCTCCAGCCCTTGGGGTCTAGGAAGTTTTGCTCCTCACTGTAATGCTAAGTAGCTACTGATCTCCCTTTCCTCCAAGCACGTGTCCAATCCCTTTGTGAATCTGGCTAGACTCAACTTCCCCCACATCTGGTGGCAACAAGCCCTGTGCTTTAATTCCCCGTTGTGTGACCAACAACTTCCATGTGTCTGCTTTAAACTTGCGACCTACTAGCTTCATGTTGTGACCCCTTGTTCTTGTATGAAGAGGGATGGTCAATAACTAATCCCTATTGACTCTTTCTTCACTGTTTAGTATTTTGCAAAACCTTCTCCTGTCTCCTCTCAAGCATCTCTTTTCTGAACTGGTACCTAGCCTGGCCTCTGCAGTCTCTCCTCATATGGAAGCCCCTCCATAGCACTCATCATCCTTGCTGTCCTTCTTTGGACTTTCTCTAGTTCTCCTATATCCTTTTTTGGGGTGTGGGGACCAGAACTGGACACAAGACTCAAGGTGTGGATGCCCCATGGGTTTATAAAGGGGTATCGTGATACTTTCAGTTTGGTTTACAATTCCCTTAATCATCCCTCAAGTGTCATTTGCCTTTTTGATGCTTGCTGAGCACTGAGCTGATGTGTTTAGTGAGCTGTCCACAATGACTCCCAGATCTGATCAGAAAGCTGATGGATTTTCTTGAAGTCCCTTCCAGCCCTGTAGTTTCCGTGAGTTTATGAACATCTCCATTTACATGTGAGATGCATACATTGGTTTATAAGGTGCAAATCTACCCTGGCTTCAGACTAACACGGCTACCTACCTGTGACAGCAGATGGAGGCCTTACCTGAGCTCAGGGCATCTTTGTGCCAGATGCTGTACACATGCACACACATCATCCCTGCCTCAAGGACCTAAATAGATTCATGAAAAGGGAATTGGCACACACACACGCTCACCCAGCTGCCAATGGCAGAGTTGGGGTAAGAGCCCAGGGCTCCTCATCCTGTTTCCTGTGTCCTGCCCAGTGGACTGCGCTGTCTCCCATCTCCAAATCCTTAAAGGCAGCCGAGTAATGAAGCTCCTTAATCTCCTAGCAGATTTCCACCACCTGGTTGTGCAGGCTGGTAGAGATGTCATCAGGAGGGACCCCCAGGTACTATGTGGGATAGCCATGAATCTTGGAGTTTACTGTCCCCCTGCCCTTCCAAGTGCTTCTCAGGCAAAACCCACCCAGAGCTGATGGCACAGTGACCCCTGGCGGCTGGCTACAGTCAGGACACATTTTCTTCCCAGCCTCCTACTGAAACAAAGACTGCCGCTGGCTAAGGACAGAAGTTATACATAAACCAGATTCAAAATAACAAACGAGTTTGACATAAACCTGGTTGAATGTAGTATCGACGCGGTGAACACCTTCCTCATCCCCCGCGTCGCGTTCGTCCTGAGGGGCTCGGCGGTCCCCAAGACCCCGCTCAAGAGGGCGGACGCCGAGATCCGACGGCTGCTCAAGAAGTGGCTGGCCCCGCCCCCGGGGGGCAGCGACGAGGGCCTG